GAGGAAAAGATAATATTAAACATTTACACTGTACTTCACCATTTTTTCCTGTTTATTCTAAGATATTCAGCATGTGTAATTACGGATAGTTTGGTTCACGTCCTAATAACATTCTCTCACACATTTGCTGTCCCAAAGACAGGACAATTCCCAGAAAAAGGGTTAGCAATAGGACCCTGGAAAAAGACTCATCAAATTGTTTCTGATAGTGTCACTAAGGGACAGGAAAAGTTACTAAAATATTGACAGAATGGAGGAGACATGATATTGAAATTTAAGTTATATAAGTATAAAGTACTGGAAGAAAAACTGACATTTTTAGGTGAGGGGAAAAACTAGATTCTAATATAAAGACTAATGAATGCATCAATGGATCTGCGATCCATCCATATGGTTATTCCCTCCAACATTTCAGATCCTGATCCATTCATGTCATCTCATCCTATCTGACTCCTGTCCATGTCCTCCCCTAAATATTCCACAGGAATATTCCATAGAATATTCCACAGGGGGTCCACCCAATGTATTGAATGCCTTTCCTTAGGTCTCTGGGGAATGGAGTCAAAAGGCTGTCTATCAGTACCTCACTCTTGTCACATGACCAGCCCATCTTAATTAATCCACAATTAGCAAATTCTGAATTTTAAAGGTTCTTCGAACAACAAAATTATTTGTAGTAGCACTTTCTGTGACAGCAAAAGATTAGAAACAAAGTGAGTGACTCTCAACTAGTAGGAGGCTAAATAAACTTTGATAAAGGAATGTCATTGGATACTATAGTGCTGTGAGAAATGACAACTATGAATAATTCAGAGAAACAAGGTAAGATTAGTATGAACTGATGCAGAAAGAAATAGGAATAACTAGAGGAATAATATACATCTACTACAAAAGATAAATCACCAAAAGGAAGTAAAACTCTTAAGTATGTGAAAAAACAATTATGGTCCTAGAGAAGTGATAATGAAACACACTTCCTTTCTGTCAGAGTGTCACTGGATTGATTTCTTTTTCATATGAGAGGGTTAAATTCTTGCTGGAGGGAAATCATATTCAGAAATAACTGATAGGAAAAAAAGGCATCAATAGAATATTTTTTTTTAATAAAGAGGGCCTTCAAGGAAAAAAGACCACTTTCTGTTGTTCAATCGTTCAGTTCTGTCTGACTCTCCATAACCCCATCGACCATAACATGCCAGGCCCTTCTGTTTTCCACAATCTCTCAAAGTCTGTCCAAGTTCATTGTTTCTATGACACTATCCATCCATCTCATCCTCTGCCATCCCCTTCTCCTTTCATCTTCAATCTTTCCCAACATCAGGGTCTTTTCCAATGATTCCTTTCTTTTCAATATGTGGTCAAAATATTTAAGCTTCAGTATTTTTCCTTCCAAAGAATAGTTTGAATCAATATGAAGTAATATGAAAAAGACCACAGGGGACCAGAAATTCTATTAATGAAAAACACTAAACTACTCTATGTCCTGAGGAAATTTAAAACACACCACCACCACCACCACCACCACCACCACCACCACCACCACGACAACAACAAAACAACCAAAACAAAGCAAAAAACCTACAGATCATAAAAACTAAAGCAGATTATACAAATAAAATAAATAAAACGTTTACACGTTTGTACGTTGTATAATCTAATTTAAAATCAATTCTGGCTTCTCAGAGCCAGCAGAAACACTCTGTATATATCTGAGAAGAACAAAGATGAATAATAAGGTTGGTTGTAAGTATGAAAGAAATCAGTTATCATTCGGATCAAGGAAAGTTGGAAAGAAGTAAGCTGTAGCAATTGCAGAGTAAACAGAGTACCAATCTATTTATTCCTTTTTTTACTTCTCTTGCAGGTAGGCAATTCTCTAATCTAGGACTTATCTATTAACCTATATACTATTAGAGATTTGTATTGCTGAAGGCAGTTCCCACATTGGGAGAGTCCCCAACCGCTGAAATCATAGCTACCTTCCATATTTTTCCAATGGCAAAAGGTGTAACCCCTGCAGAAGTTCAAGTAGTTAAAACATGCTAAAATAGGCCCCCAACTGAAAAGGAACATGAGAAGTCAATGCTATTTACAGTCAAAAGAAGACTAAACAGTCCATGGGATATTTACTCAAGGCAGAAAACCGTGCCAAAGCACAAGGTGGGCTTCGTGAAAAGGTATTCTAGTCAAGTCTTGCTCCATTTAAAAACCATCCCATGAACAATTTTTTTAAAGCTATCAAATACAGCAAAAGATCAACAAACAAAAGAAATGAGAGAAAAACTCTAGTAAGGTAACCTTTTCTCCAAGTGAAATACCCCTGGTTCTTTCAACTGATCTTCATATAACATCTTTTACCGTCATGGCATCCCTCCTTGAATTCTGTTGTTGTGTTGAGTCATTTTAGTGGCGTCCTACTCTTTGTGACCCCATTTGGGGTTTTCTTGTCAAAGACACTGGAGTGGTTTGCCATTTCCTTCTCCAGCTCATTTTACAAAGAGGAAACTGAGGGAAACGGAGTTAAGTGAGTTGTCCAGGGTCACATAGCTAGGAAGTGTCAAGTGTTTGGTCTGAGGCCGGATTTGAACTCAGGTCCTCCTGACTTCAGGGCCTGTGCTCTATCCACTGCTCCACCTAGCTGCCCCCTGGGTTTATATTTTGCCACACATACTTGTGATCATGTTCATGTCATTTAACCCCTGAATGCCCCAGGCAACTCTTGAATACCACAAGTTGTAAAGCAAGTACCCATCTGCGTTGGTAGAAGTAGTTGCCTCACCTGGGAGTTCCTTGTATCAATGAAAGCACAGGTCCAGTCCAAAACAAAAACAAAAACACACATTATAATGCTGGGGTCAATTGTTGTTTAGTCGTTTTAGTCATGTCTGACTCTATGTGACCTTATCTGGGGTTTTCTTGGCAAAGATATTGGAGTGGTTTGCCATTTCCTTCTCCAGCTCATTTTACAGATGAGGAAACTGAGGCAAACAGAGTTAAGTGACTCGCCCAGGGTCACACAGCTGGTAAGCGTCTGAGGCCAGATTTGAACTCAGATCTTCCTGACTCTGGGCCTGACGTTCTATCCACTGCACCACCCACATCACTCCGTTAAAGCTATGGAATAGAATTTGGCTAAAATTGAAGTCAAGCTCCCTGACTCTATTCTCTTCCTGTATTTGCAAATCAAAACGTTTGCCCTTCTCTGCTTCCCCATTAGGGCAGCCAGGTGGTTCAGCGGATAGAGCGCCAGGCCTAGAGTCAGGAAGACCTGAGTTCAAATCTGGCCTCAGACACTTACCAGCTGTGTGACCCTGGGCAAGTCACTTAACCCTGTTTGCCTCAGTTTCCTCATCTGCCAAATGAGCTGGAGAAGGAAATGGCAAACCACTCTAGCATCTCTGCCAAGAAAACCCCACAAGGGATCACGAAGAGTTGGACACAACTGAAAGGACTTAACAACAACAACACTTCCCCATTACCTCTCTTATTCTCTACAACCTTTCAAAGAATCACTGAAAATGGCTTAATCACATTCACCCACCCTTTCCGTCACTGAGGACTGAGCTCATCTGGGCTAGATGACGAATTCGTCAAGTACAACTAGGTTTTTCTCTTACTCTCTATCTCCTCATTTATCTTTCATATTAGTTCCTATTAGCCATTTTTTTTCTGTCCATTCCAATGCAATAGTCATACTCTGGCAAAGAAAGCAGCTGCAAAGTAAGAATGAAAGGAGCACTGTTGTCAATGATCATTCCATCTACCCAAAGCAGCATCTCTTCTCTAATCCTTTTTTTTCCCTTGATATGCCTTAAAAAAAGAAAAACTTTGTGTTGCCTTTGCTTTTCTCATCAGCCTCAGTTCATTCTAAGTTAACACCTCCAATATTATTCTTACAATATACTACTCTGACAGAATAAGTGTAATAAGATGAGATAAATGGATGAATTGCCTAGAGTCTTTTGGAAGAAGGGCTACATAAGGAAGAAGCATGATAATCACCCCTATTACCAACCACTCCACAAACTATCACTTTTTCCTAAGACGGTCAAAGTTTCTTGCATCTACAACACTCCCTTGTTTTCAAAAGGCATATGGGGCAGAAAAGCATAAAAGAATCTCATTTTTTAATACTCTATTTGACAACTTTTTGTCTTTTCTCAAATCCGACTGAATTACCACATAATACTAATGGCATCAACAGCATCTTTATCTGCTGGATGTGCTCCATTGTCTAAGCCTGGAGCCCTTTCTTCTTAGAACATTTGAGAACAGAAGTATATTATAAACCGGAATAGTTCCAACAATGATGAAATCCCAATTTACAAAGGAAGGCTATGCTGCATGAAGCTTAGATAGCTATAAAAAAAAAAATCTGCAAGAAGTGGTGGAAAGAGGAAGGTTTTCAAAATGTTAAGTAAAAAATAATAATAATAATTTGTTTTAATTTAATTAAATATGTGCATATTTCAAGGGCAGCTAGGCTGCATAGTGAATAGGGCACTGGGCCTGGAATCAAGAAGACATCTTTCTGAGTTCAAATCTGGCCTTAGACAATTACTAGCTATATGACACTGAGCAAGTCATTGAGCCTGTTTGCCTCAGTTTCCTCATCTGTAAAATGAGCTGGAGAAGGAAATGGCAAAATCCCAGTATCCTTGCCAAGAAAACCCCAAATGGGGTTACAAACATGAATCAAACATGACTGAAAACAACTAAACAACAACAACAACAAATATTTTATCTAAGTTAATAGGTCAACTTTCTCCCCTCAATCTTGAAAATATGGAATTTAACAGTAAGGGTCTCAGGTTTTCAAAAGAGAAGGACCAAAAACTCATTCAATATTCTTATCTAGTTAAAAATAATAATCCAAATTTCCGATGGGACTCATTACTGAAATATTGAAATAGTAATCCCTTGAATTACAAACATGCAAACAGAAACCAAAGCATAATGTAAGAAGAGAGAATATAATTAAACAAAGAACTGCAACTTACTCATTGTTTCTATTTTTGATGCATGGATGGTAAAGAACCTTGACAGCATTCCAGATGCCTGTGGAGTTGGAATCCAACCTCTCCGTGCCTTCAAATAATGAGAATGCTTGGATGCTCTCTGAATTTCCCGGAGATTCAATCAGTAAACTGTCTGAGTTTAAAAGCCACACCTATAGATAAAAGAAAGAAGGAAACAAAAAAAAAACACCAAAACTGAAATCAACAGCTAGAGCAATTATCCTCTTCCTCTTCTTAAACCTGAAGTTGGGGCAGATAGGTGGCACAGTGCATAGAGCACCGGCCCTAAAATCAGGAGAACCTGAGTTCAAATTCAGGTCTCAGACCAAACATTTGACACTTATTAGCTGTGTGACCCTGGGCAAGTCACTTAACCCCAACTGCCTTAAGAAAAAAAAAAAAAGAATACTTAAACCTGAAGTCAACCAACCAAGTAATCAATCAACAAGCACTGATTAAGTACCTACTATGAGCAAGGCACTGTCTCAGGAACACAGTAAGAACACACACATTTATTGATTTAAGTTCCCAATCTTACATGGGCATGGTTTGTGGGGATGGACAATGAAAGGCAATGGGCAGATAAATACCATCTCCTGTCTCCATGTCTTTGTATTGGTTTTCATGACGTGCCCAGAATGCTCTCCCTCTTCACCCCTACTTTGTAAACAATAATCCCGGGCTTCTTTCAATACTGAACTCAACTCCTACCTTCTGCAGGATGCCTGGCCCAGTTCATCCTGCTGCTAGTGCCTTCCCTTTTAAGGTTACTAACCATCGACTCTCTGCACATTTCATATATATCTATTTATGTATATTTTATCTCCCTCATTAGAATGCAAGCTCCTTGAGGGCAGGGGCTGGTTTTGAGTTTTCTTTGTTTCCTCAGTATTTAGCACAGTGCCTTGCATATAGTAAGCAGATACAGAATAAAACATATGTGTGTATATATTTATATATGTGTATGTATGTATGTATGCATATGTATATGTGTATTGTGTGTCTGTGTGTATATGGAGAAAAAGAGAGAGATAGCCAATAATGGAATTTTTTTTGCTTGACTATGAATATTTGCTATGAGGATCTTGTTTGTCTTTTTTTCTTTTTTCAATAAGGTGGGGTATGGAAGGGAGAGAAAATAGATTTGTTTAAAAAAAATTTAATTTCAAAAAATGTTTGTTGATTGACAAATTGGTCTTCAAGGAAGTCTAGCAAAAGATGGCACAATGGATGGATAGAGCACCAGCCCCGGAGTCAGGAAGACCTGAGTTCAAGTCTGGCCTCAGACACTTACTACCTGTGTGACCCTGGGCAAGTCATTTAACCCCAATTGCCTAAAAAAAAAAAAGAAAAAAGAAACAGGAAAAAAAAGAAAGTCTAGCAAAGATAAATCAAAATTCTGATTTCACAGAATTCCTTGAAAATTGCTTTAAGTCAAGTTTTCAGCATTTCATAGAAAGGCCTTTTGGAAGTATGGAAGCTGCATCCTAGAAGTTCAAAAGCCCAGGGCTGCTGAATGGATCTCAGAATCCTCTTTGCAGGGTGACTGGACTATTGGCAGGCCTCTGTAAAACTTAATCCATATAACTCAGGGATGTCCACAGAGCAAGATACTGTTCAACTACTGAGCCTTTCCAACTCAGTGTAGGTGAAGAAAGGGCACTATCTTGGAAGGAAGGAAGGAAGGAAGGAAGGAAGGAAGGAAGGAAAAATGCATTTATTAAACATTCACTATGTGCTAAACACTACGCTAAGCTCTTTACAAATATTATCTCATTTGATCCTCAGAACAACCTTGGGAGGTAGGTGCTATTAACATCCCCATTTTACAGGTGAGAAAATTGAGGCAGACAGATTATATGACTTGCCCAGGGTCACACAGCCAGTAAGTGTCTTGAGGCCAAATTTGAACCCAGGCCTTCCTGCCTCCAGGACCAGCACTCTACCCACTGCATCACCTAATTACCAGATACATCTCTGAGCATCCATCAACATGACAAGTCAAATAGGAATGTTCAAGAAAAGCTCATAATCTGTGATACAGACATATCTCCCATGGAGAATTTATTACAACTAAATTCAACAAATATCTACTGTGTACCTATTTAAATACCAAACAAAAGTATTAGGCCCTGGGTGAGGTAAAGGGTGGGGGGGTGGATGCAAAGGCAAGCGACACAAGGTCTCTGCCCTCAAGGAGCTTACAATTTAAGAGAAACACAAGTCAAATAACTAGAAATGATAACTTGTCTTAATTAGCTATATTTTTACATCATCTTTGTTTTCCAATATCCCCCTCCCTTCCACCATACAAAGAACCATTCCTTAAAAGAAATTTTTAAAAGTGAAGTGAAGAAAAAAATCAGTTCAGTAAAACTCACCAATTCATCAACCAAATCTGACATTATATGCAGTGTTCCACACCCATAGTCCCCCACCTGGGCAAAAAAGAGAGTTTCTTACCAAGATGTAAGTTTTTCCATCCTGTCCTTGAACAGTGAATCTAAACGTGCTTCTAGTAGAGGACAGTTCCACCAGACACTGAGCAATAACGCTCTGTACAAACTGAGACCTGTTTGAACAGAAATCAGTTTTCACAGTGTGTTTCTCATAATAACTGTAACTGGCAAGATGAGCCAAAAATACCTACAGAGTGCCTGAAAGTCAGAGACATCTGGATGCCATACTTTTCTGCATATTGCCGGTTTTCTCGCAATCTGGAGCAGATGTGGATTTAATACATTTTAATGCACTAACATATTTGCTTTCATCTCCCAGTTTTTACTATGACCCATTCCTTGGCCCTTAGATAAACATCCTATGCCCAGAAACCTAACTACTTTCCACTAATTGAAAATTAAAGAAAATGTCCCAACAGACCAAGCCAAAAGAACGGATCTATTAGTGGGCAATTTTGAACCATGAAGTTTCAAAGGAAAATGAGAAAAGGATTACATGTTGCCATCTATATATATGAAAGATAGTGTGACATAGGGGAGAAGGTATTGAATCTGAAGTCAGGAAGACTTTAGTTTACATCTGACCTCTGACACTTAGGAATTGAGTGAACGTGAGCAAGTCACCTAAACTTGCTGAGTCTCAGTTTCCTCATCTGCAAAATGGGAAAGAAAATATCTGTCTGACCTACCTTACAGGTTTGCTATGAATTATGACTGAAATATCAAAGCATTGTGCAAATGTCTACAATAGTCATAGTTGATATTATTATTATTATTATTATTATTATTATTTTCAGGGTGTAGGCTTTCTTTTAGTTTACACAGAATCTGAATTCTGATGTGAAGATATTTACAGCCTAATACACTCAAGGCTGAATATGGTCAGATTACCATAGATTCAGATACCAACAAGACCAACATATAGAAATGTTACAGAGAATTTCACTATAAGAACAAATAGAAAGAAAGATAGAACATTCTAGAATGCAGGGAAGTATTATTTTGCCATACAGATCTTCCAATGATACATAAATAGAAGGAACCACTGGGAAGCTAATCCACAATATCTCTTGAATTTTAAATGTCATATTAAATAACCAATGTTTAATTACTAAGAGCACAAAGGGAAACAGGTTCCAAGTTCCTGGAGAGCAGAAACCATATCATATGTTTCTTCTGTAACATGTAGAAAGGCATCAAGGTACAGTTGAATTAGGGTAAAGACAGGCAGACTTGAATCAGGAGGACAAAGGTCCCACCTTTGATACTAACTCCAGCAAGTCTCCAAACTCTTTGTCCTCAAGCAATTCTCTAAGACTGTAAGTACTGACAGGGTCTGTAATGAGCTGATCTATACTAGTGAAGGGGCTTTCCTCACTGGACATGTCCTATATCAGTGAAAATAAAGGTCCAGACCTTCCCAAAATAAATCCTCCTGAATATTTGGCATCTAATCACTTTACCCCATTGCCTAGCAAAAAACAAACAAAGAGGGGGCAGCTAGGTAGTGCAGTGGATAGAGCACTGGCCCTGGATTCAGGAGGACCTGAGTTCAAATACGGATTCAGACATATAACACTTACTAGCTGTGTGACCCTGGACAAGTCACTTAACTTCATTGCCTAACCGAAAAAACAAACAAACAAACAAACAAAAAAAGAAATATCCAGATCTTTGGGGCAGCTAGGTGGCACATTGGATACAGCACTGGCCCTGGAGTCAGGAGGACCTGAGTTCAAATTTTGTCTCAGACCAGACACTTGACATTTACTAGCTGTGTGGCCCTGGGCAAATCACTGAACCCCAACTGCCTCACCAAAAAAAAAAATACTTGGCATCTAAAAAGAGTAAAGGACGTCTGCAGGGAAACCTATGACCAGGGAAAAAATGTGGGTCAGTCATATAGCAAGATAACTGATGGAGAGTTTTCACGCTCTCTCAGTAGCCACCCAATGTCAAGAGAACATAAGGAAGAAGTCTAGCGTGTTGGGCAGACCATCTGTGGCAAATTTGTGAAAGGACACAGATGGCTTGGAATGGTGGCAGCACTCACTTGAGGTTCCTGCAGCTGGGGAGGCTGAGGTTGGTGAAGTACTTGAGTATTGGAGTCTGAGCCATAGGAGGGCTAAAGCCAATGGATGCCCACACTAAGTCTGGTACCAATATGGTGAACCCCAAGGGCAGGGTGGAGGTACCAGGTCTCCTCAAAAAGGGCAAACAGAGGCAGATTGGAAAAATGGAGTAAATTAAAGCTTCCATACCAATCAGTATTGTGATCAGGCCTATGAGAGACTGTTGCATTTCCAGCCTAGGTGAGATAGGAAGATCTAGTCTCATCAAAAAAAAAAAAAAAAAAAAAAGGCATGAATGCGAATTGCACAAGATGGACAGACATGCATGGGTGATGATTTGGCATAGTGAAGAAAGTACAATCAGTTCTGTTATAATGTTTTTTTCAAAAACTCAAATTTGTTCCAATACGATTGGACATATTAGGTAATATTTTGAGCATAACATGAATTTCAATTTGCTTATACATGAATTCTTCCATGAGAAACAGTTAGAACGCAGAAAACTTCACCATTTCAGTAACTCATAAGCTCCAACTCTTCTAACTCCCACTTCCCCAAGAAAACTTCAGGTCTTTTTCAAGGTAAAGTGCCATATTTATGGTATATCTTCAGGTACAATAAGAGCTATGGGCAGAGGAGGGTGGGTACACACACTTCCCTCTACTCCCCCTATAACCACCTGCCATGGCCTACTCACCTGGGGCCCAGGCCGAGCAGCAGCCTAAAGCCATGGACACCACTGTTGGCATATTTATGTATTTATTGGAGTATTTATATATTTCTTAACCATTTAACATGTATAAAATGGTGGTAGCATAATTATTAGATTCCTATCTTTTCTTTATGTGTCACCGACAAAGTATTTAAGCATTATGCCCTTAATCCTATTTTTTCCATAAGCCCCTGGCTTTTATTAAGCAAGTTTACATAATGAGGTACATTTCAGGAATTCATATGCCTTGTCATAGCAGAACTGACTGTACCCATATCAATAAGATCACAGATTCACTGAAATAATGGCCCGCCCAGCACAGTACTATCCATAAAACAGGCTCCAGATACCTTTTTTTCATTGTGACATCCTTTGATTGAGACACAGTTCAAAGAGCACCAGGCTTGTGATCAGAAGACCTAGGTTCTAATCCTAGCTCTGTCACTTACTAGCTATGTGACCTCGGGTAAGTCATAAGATCTCTGAACCTTCATTTCTTCACTTGTTATAAAATCTCCCCTACTCAGCTTTACCAGTTAGTTGTAAAGACCAAATACGGTATGAAATAGTTTTGAAAATTGTAAAATGTCCTATAAATGTAAGGCACTATTATTATTTCCATGCTGCAAAAAGTATGAATAAATCTAGATCCATATACTTTTGTCTATTATATTATGTAACCAAAACAAATTCCAGGACAGAATAAATTCTCTCCACAATTCCCAGCACCATTTGAGACTAGAAAAGAAACTCAATTTGCTATTTGTACCTTGGTATCATGTCAAAATCTCTCCCAGATGGCTGGATAATTATCTCTGTGATATAAAACTTTGTGGTCCCTAAAACAGGAAGCAGAAAATTAAAGAGGAACAATTCCCACCATAACACTAAAACATAAAACTTTCATTTCCCACATCCTAAAACCAAACTGTGACATTTTCAAGTTAAACATTTAAAGCCCTAATGAAATAACACTACTGTGAATTTTTTCAGAATACCGGAGTCAAGACTCATGATCAGTTTTTTATGGGGCTTCAGTGGAAAACGTATGGGGTTTGTGGTGGAGGACATGAGTTTGAATTCTGTCTCTGCTGCCTACTACCTGTAAGTGTGACATTAGGGAAGTCATCTGACTTGTCTCAAATCTTCATCTGTAAAAAACGGTTTGGATTACATGGCCTCTGAGATCTTGTCCAGCTCTAAATCTATGATCATATAATTCCATGGAACCATACTGATGCAACAGGTACATAGTGTAGGCCTCCTGCGTGACTTTTTTTTTTTTTTTTTTGCTATTTAAAGAGCTGTACTCGTAGATGTACTGTCCCTAAGGAACCCACATTTCATCTTTTAGGCACTCTCTTCTCTCTTCCTGTGAAGATAACAACCTGCTGCCGGCCCAAAGAATTAGAGACAGTTAGATGGATGGAGCATCGGACTTGGAGTCAGGAAGAGCTGAGTTCAGATCTTGCCTCAGATGCTCACTGTGTGACCCCAGGAAAGTCACTTAACCTGCATCTCAATTTCATCACCTGTGAAATTAGGGAACTGGACACAATGGCCTCTAAAATGCCTTCCATCTCCAAATCTAAGATCCTGTGGATCTGTCACCTGGTAGCCAAACCTCTGGTAATAAGCCTCCCTAAATATCCAAGAACAGAAACATATCCCTCACTAGCCCATATCTGAAGCTTTCCATCAGGGTATGATCTACCAGAGTTTATGCCTCCACCAGCATACTGTACTTCAACATTTGACAGTAAAATGTCTTTTGCCTCTTTTTGTATCTCCAAGGGTCAGCATAATGCCTGGCATATAGTAGGTGCCTGATAAATATTTATTGACTGATTGAAATGAATCTATGACCTTATTATATAGATAGGATCCTACAGAAACAACTCCTCCAGGCCTTTTCATCCCACAAGACAGGTTCTTCCAAAGGTCCTCCAAAAAGGATCCCAACATGATGGGGGAGGAGTCTTCCTCTACATTTACCAAGTCCTATTTCAATATCCTATCACAGCACAGAGGTAACACTGAATTATCAGAGGCTACACCAGTGGACTATAAGCTCTGGCACATTCTGCCATATCAGAAAGGCTTTGAGTAAAGTATCAGTGATGGACTAAATCTGTTATCAGAGGACCAATATGGCTAAGTTTGAAGAAGCTCAAGCAGTTGGATGATCAACAAATGGAAAATTCTTCAGTAATGGCAGCCGATGAAGCAAAGACAAACACAAAATGGAATTTTAGTCCTGATAGCTCTCTTATTCCCTGTCCACAGAATACTGCAGATGGACAAAAGTATAGAGGGTATTAAAGAAAATACCAGTTTTTAGACCATCAACAAACATCAGTTTAAATACTGGAATTCTAAACATGAAATCTCTGTCCAATGACCAATGAATTGATTTGTCATTGGAGCAAATGAGCTACATCAACTGCAAAAACTGATTCTTGCAAATTTCAGAAGACAAGGGGACGTTTACCTTTTCCTTAGACTCTCCTTGGAGTGGGAGGTGGAAAAGTGAGTAGAGCTAGTTTCAATGCAATTAAAAAGAATTTCATGCAACACTTGGTCATCTCCTCTTGCTGCGCTTATAAGCATATGCAAAGAGTTCTCTAACAATAATGACAGCTTATATGCAACATCTGGATAGAGAAGAAAAATTTAGCTCCTTCATAGTTAAAATATATACATATATGTGTGTATGCATATGTATATACATATATACACATATATAAATACTCAGTGATTGCCATATAGAGTTGAGCAGGAGACGATGGCAAAAAGCTTGTTGGAAAACTGTGAATTTTTCAATTGTGTCCAACTCTTCATGACCTCATTTGGGGTTTTCTTGGCAAAGATACTGGAGTGGCTTGCCATTTCTTTCTTCAGCTCATTTTACAGATGAGGAAGTTAGGGCAAACAAAGTTAAGTGACTTGCCCAGGGTCACATAGCTTACTAAGTGTCTGAGGCCAGATTTGAACTCAGGAAGATGGGTCTTCCCGACTCCAGGCCTGAAACTCTATCCACTACACCACCTAACTGCCCAAAATAGGAATGAAAATGATCAAAGACATCAAGGACTCAGGAGCCTGACGTTTATCTTTAACAGGAATATTTTTTTCCAACAGGAGAGTCAGAAAACACTGGTTATGGCACCCAGCAAACAAAATCACAAAATGTGGGATTGGCTCCATACTAACAGAAGGGAAATGACTAGTTGCTGATAGGAGTCACTTCAGAATCCACCATGACAGCCTTTAAAAAAAAAGCCAGATCATCTTGATTGTGGAACCCACTGTAGTTCTGAAGCAACAAACTAGGAATTTAACTGGCATTAAAGTCACTCATTTAGATTTTTAAAATCTAGTGGCACTAACTACAGGAACGAAGGGACAAGCATGGCTTAGTGAGCAGAGAGCCAGCATGGCATAAAGGGTAGACAGTCAGTCATGCAGTCAGGAAGACCCTGGTTCAAGCCTTGCCTCTAACAAACTAGCCATGTGACCTAGGGCAAAGTCACTTAACTTCTCAATGCTATTAGACATTTACAGATTGCAGAGAAGGTGCTAATCTGAATTGGCAAGGAGGTTTCCTCATCCAGGAGTTTCTTATACCAATACAATTATAGGTCCAGTCCTTTTGCTTATAAGCACAGGATGTGAGAGACATTCTTTGACAGTGCCTCATGTGAAAAGGACCTGGTAGCAACTTAAATGAGCCAAAAATATTCCATGGAAGCTTAAAAAAATAATAATACAATCTAAGCTGCCTTAATAAAAACACAGGGCCAACATAAGAGAAATACTAAGTGTACTGACTTCTTCCCTGGTCAGGCAACAACAATTGAAATTCTTACACAGAATTATGGATATCACTCCTTAAGAAGTATGTTGACAAAAGAGGAAAGCTGCTAGGATGATGAATGACCTTGTCATATGACTAAGTGTTGAGAAAGCTGAAAATGTTTAGTCGAAAAAAGAAGGCTTTGGGAGGCTTAAAAGAGATGAGAGGGAAAGGTCAAAATAACTGTATCCAAGTATTCAAAAGGCTATCATGTGATTTGTAATGTGGTTTGTACTACTTTATTAGCCAGAACTAGGACAAATAGGTAGAAGTTACAGGGAAACAGATTTCCACTGAACATAAAGAATAAACTTTCTAACAATGTGAGCAGTGTAGCATGGGGATGGGGGAGCTTCCCTTCCATACAATTGTTAAAGAGGAGAATGGATGACCATCTATGGCCAAGGATGCTTGAGAAGGAGGATTCCTGAATGCCTTCTAAGATCTCTTCTAACTCTGAGGCTGTGATTCTGCAGAAATGGGAGTCAGGCTGTCACAAGCAGGCACCATGAGAGTGGGCAAGGAGCAGGTGACATTCTAACATCAAGTTAAGAGACAAAACAGCTAAAATATGAACAGAGAATGGTATTAACTGCCCAGAACAATAACAAATGCTCATCCTGATGTCATCCTCAATTTCTCATCCTGCCTCTCCATATCCAATCAGTTTTTGAAGTACTGCTATTTCTGTCTTCATAACCCTTCTTGCATACTGCCCCCCATCTCTTCCTCTCCTCTGACACTGCCACCACCCTGATGCATGCCCTCATCACCTCGTGCCTGGATTACTGCAATAACCTGCTGGTTGATGTGCCTTCCCAACTCCAGTCAATCCTCTACTCAGCTGTCAAATTGATCTTCCTAAAACACAGATCTGACCATGCCACCCTCTCTCCTCTACAGATCCCAATGAATTCTAGGAAAAAAAATATAAAAGTGGCTATAAGTGGCTTTCAAAGCCCCTTATCACCTGGCCCCTTCCTACCTTTACAATCTTCTAACACCTCAGTCTCCTTCAGTGACACAGGCCTCCTTGCGGTTCGTCACTCGTGCCACTCCATCTCCCAACTCCAAACATTTTCACTGGCTTCCCCCCATTCCTGAGACTCTTTCCCTCCTCATCTCCATTACCTGCTTTTCCTGGCCTCCTCCAGGTCTCAGCTGAAGTTCTACCTCCCCAAAGAAGCCTTTCCCAGTTCTCCCTGTCTTAGTGCCTTCCTTCTGATATTACCTCCAATTTTTTCTCCTGTATATATATTGCTTGTTGTCTCCCCTAGAGTAGGGGCTGGGTTTTTTTTGTCTGTTTTGTTTTGGTTTTTTCTTAAAACATTTTAAAATGTTTTATATCTGCAGTATCTAGAACATTGTAGGTGCTTAATAAATACTTGTTGATTAATATAACTACATCATGAAGAAAAGTTTAACTTGTATTCATATGTAGTGCAGAACGGAGTGAGAGACACTCTCAGAACCAGAAAGAGCTGAGTTCAAGTCCTATTTCTGAAATATACTCCCTGTGTAACCATGGATAAAGCAATTAACCTCCCAATACTCCAGAGAACTCTCTAAGACTATAAGCTATGGAACATTTGCTAATCAGCATTTCTAAGACTATAAGTTATAGAATACTTGTTAACAAAAGTTAATTTGTTAACTTTCCTCACTGTGACCTCCCTATATCAAGGACAGATCTGGACAAAAAATAAAAAGACTCTTTGAAAAAATGTTTTACAAAGTGGGTTTTTTTTTTGTAGAGTTAATAAAGTTTTGCTGCTTGCAGGGAAAAATTTCAGTAATTGGAAAAATTCACTTAGGGTGCATACTCTATGTCCTGACTATACTGGATAAATGAGGCATTAACTGTAGCATTCATTAATACTTGTTCAGAACAAGTCATCATTAATCCTAGCAAGTGGTTCACTAACTATTTTCAAGATTATTGCCATATTCAGGAGCAAATACCTTCTGCCTTTTATGCATAACTGAAACTGAGTTTCATTTAAACTCAAACTTTTCATAATCAATGATATTAAAAGCTATTAGTCATCACACCCAGTGTGAGCACAGCATGTTGTAGCACTCTAGATGTTTCAAAAGCACACACTGAAATAATGATATTCACTTCAATTATGAGAATTTTCATTACTAGACTTTAAAATGGTTTAATAGAGATCTTAAATGAAATACAATTAACACTGGAACAACAAATGAGGGACATAGAACAGAATTTGTTTAAGTCTCTTTAATCGCATAATGTCCCATAAAAAAACTATATATAAAATTGGACCAGAGCAGTTCAGAAAAACTATTTTGTCAACCCATGGGGGGTGGGGGGGGGGAATACAGAAGAAAGATTATAAGGATCACAGGATAATAGATCCAGAAGTAGAAGGGGCCTCAAAGGTCATCTAGTTCTAACTTTGTCTCTTTTTTTTTTTTTTAGAAGAAATTGAGGCCAACAGTGGTAAAACGTTTTGTCTTAGATCATATCAGCAACATGCTTCAGAGGTAAGATTTGAACCCAGTCCTCTAGTCCAGCGCCAAGGCTCTTTCCACTTTTAAGCCGAGTAACCTCTGACAATTCACTTATCTGGGGCATAAATCTGTTTAACTGCCATGAAAATAGTAGTGCTTCAATGTTTTAAAAAAAAAAAAGTAATAACCAACCTGCATATTACAGGGGACTCACTCATCATCTGTATATGACTTGCTGCTACCTGCTAATAAGTAGAAAGGATAAATTTTGCTCTCTTAACTGCCATCTGCTGCTGGGAAGAGGACAGGAAAGAAAAGGAGGAAGACAAGGAGAAGGAAAAGGAAAGGGAAATAGAGGAGAGAAGGAAGAGTAGGAAAAAGAAGAGGAGAGGAAAGATGAGAAGATACTATGCTCTACTGCCACTTCTTGCCGGGAAGGAAAAGAAAAGAGGAGACAGAAAATATTTATTGCATAACCACCTGTTACTGCTGAGAGATGGAGAAGAATCCTGCCAAAGGAAAAAAGCTGAAGAGGCTCTCGCTAATCTTATGATAAAGGTCACTGCCTTTTCCCAAAAGAACATAACATTATATCAGCTGAAGGCATGAAGCTAGAAGTGGCAGATCTGCTGATGAGCAAGCCCAGCTGGGCAGAAGAAACACTTAGAAGTGGAACATCAAAGAAGCAGTCAAGTAAATCAACTCATCCAACTGAGAGCCTGTGTCTAGTGAGGTGTTAGTCTGGCACAGAGTAGATCAATTCAGCTTAACAGTAGAAGCATTTGCTGACGCAGAAGCTACATTGATCAAGGAATTCTTATGGACAATTCCTAAAATTGGATAGGAAAGAGGATATTGAAGTATATCAACATCCCAAAAGAGGATACTGAATTCTATAATTCCAGAGTTGTGAGTTGCCCTAGCACACATACTCCCAATATATGTGCAATACTACCCTGGGACTTAAAGGGCATATTCACTCTCTCCAACAACAGTATGTGCAATGGTAGGAGATTTATGTGTGGAATTACGTAAATATTTTGTGTTTGTTTTGCATTTTCAGTAAATGTTTTGATTAATGTTAACTGAGAATTAATGACTGATTTATTAGAGGGAAGTACACCAATGGGGGCTCATGAGCTACAGCGTTAATAGGCACAGTCACCCCCAAGGGTCACACTTAGGACTCAGAGTAGGGAGATACAGTAACCCCCTTTCCTGACAACATGAAGGCAAATTAAAGGGAAAAGAGTCAAAGACAGAAAGACTGAGTGTTGGGGGAGGGAAGGTGGTTTAGAGAAGGAAGCAAGAGCACCATAGACTATATTGTTATAGACTGGATCAATCCAGGTAAACATTTGTTCTACACCATACACGCTGGAATATTTTCTGATCCTTCCATACATTGTACCAGGTTGTTAATGCTTTCTCAATAAAATGTAAATCCCAAGCATCCCCAGTGATAAAGGCACACAGTTGACACTTGATAGATGTTGAATTGGACAGAATAAGGATAAGAAGAGTCTTTCTAAGACTGAATCCTATATCCTAGTCTCTTCAAAGAGTATAGAGGGAGTGAAACAAGATCACTGGTGTAAGTAATTCTTAGGAGGAGTTCTCTACTTGTATTGGCATAGAAGAGCAAATGCTCTTTGACAATGTTTCTGAGAGTTGCCTAGGGCACTAAGAACCCAATAGACCTTCCCAGGGTTATATAGAAAGTGTGTGTCAGAGACAGGACTTGAACCCTGGACTTCTGATTCTGAGGCAAGCTCTCAATCAATTTTATGGTGCCCTCTCTGAAAGGGGCCTTTTTCTATATTTCTGAATGCTAAAAGTATCCTATAGTTCATTTCCAAGGGTCAAAATAAAAACAATAAAAACAAATGAAGTAGCTCGGGGGCATAGGCCTGGAGTCAAAAGGACCTGAGGTTAAATCCAGCCTCAGGCACTCATTAGCTGTATAACCCTCAGCAAGTCACTTAACCTCCATCTACCTCAGTTTTCTCAACTATAAAATGGGGATAATGATAGCATCAACCTCCAGGGGTTGTTGTGAGGACTAAATGAGGTAATATTTGTAAAGTGCTTAGCACATTGCTTTGTAAATAACAGGTGTTATATAAATGTTTATTCTTTTCCCTAGCTCCCCTACCACCAATTTCTGATATTGTTACACTACATATAAAACTGTTAATAGGGCTGATGTTGAACAAGCTTATTTCTGTAACACATATAAATCTTTCTTTACAGTATCTCAGAGTTGGAAGGGAACATCTAGTCCAATTCATACTTGTATAGGAATCTTCTCTCCAATAATTAGTCATTCAGTCTTTGGTTGAAGACCTTGGGTGAAGGGATCACCACTGCCCCCTCGTGGCTGCCCTTACTACTCCTAGAAAGCTCTCATTATTCTGAAGTCTTTTTCCTTACATGGGGCTTAGATTTACCTCTCTGCATCTTCTACCCACTGCATCTACTTCTGCCTTCTGGAGCCAACAAGAAATGGCCCCTCTTCCAAATAATTCACTCATGCCCTCATTCCCACATCCTCTCTTCTTCCAGGCTAAATATTCCCAGTTCCTTCAAACAATCCTCACACCTGTCTATCCTCCTCTGGTTGCTTGCCAAGTTAACCAGGTTCTTCCTAAGCCGTGATGCCTAGAACTGAACACAATCCTCCAAGTTTAGTAGGACCATACCTTGGAATACTGCAGCCTCTGTTCTGGACACTTTGACTTTCTTAATGCTGCCTAAGATGGTAGTCAAAAAAGTTAGTGCAAAGTCATTTAAATCATATGATGCCTGCAGTCCACTAAAACCCTCAGATCTTTTTCATGTGATTTTTTTCCTCATTCTTCCCTAAACGAAATTTCTGCAAATGAGACAAACCATTTTGATATTTGCTACGAAATTCTTACCTGATGATCCAGTTTCTCCTAGCATTGCTTTGCAACGCTTGCAAATTATCCTGGTATTTGCCTTTGGTTTCTGTGGAACAGGGAAAAAAATGTCATTTAAATGTCATTCAGCTTTTCCTAAAAGGAATGTATAATTTTAACCTATTCTCTAGAGTACTGATTGAACTTTATGCTTCTATCTGCCCTTCAAATACTGAGATTGCTTTGGATGTGTATATAAAATTTACATACAGATATAACTTTTTTTTCCACATCAAGCATAACATTCGAAAGACTCATCAATATATAGATTGACTTCCCTCAACCTAACCTTTCATAGATAACTCCCAACACTGCCATCATTCTGAACAATAAATAGTACCTTACATTTGTACAGATTTTATGGTTTTCAAAGAATCACAGTATATAATCAATCATTTAATGATCTTCATATAAATTCTAAGAGGTAGTCAAGATAGGAGCTACTGTCCCCATTTTTTAGACTGAGGATACTGAGACATAAGCAGATTTAGTGACCTTCTCTCTTCTGCATAATCATATAAATTAGTAATAGTTGGTCCCTTCTAATCCTGACATGGCCAGTAAGAGGCATAGAAGAGACTAGAAGCCCAGCCTCTCATCAACTGGAGTACAGTGCTCCTTACATTATACCACACTACCTCTACTATAAAGCTGCTTATCACTTGAAACAGCCCATCACTCAGATTTTTGACAGATGTTCATTCAACTTTGTTGTTGTTTGGTCATTTCAGTCATGTTCAACTCTTCATAACCCCATTTGGGGTTTTCTTGGTTTACCATTTCCTTCTCCAACTCATTTTACAGATGAGGAAACTGAGACAAATATGGTTAAGTGACTTGCCCAGGGTGATATAGGTAGTAAGTATCTGAGGCCAGATTTGAACTCAGGTCTTCCTGACTCCAGACCCATCCACTATACCACCTCATTCAAATTCACCCTAGTATTATTCTTCCAGATTAATGTTTGTACCCAGTGCTTATACATATTGCTAGCGTACAAGGATGATGAGTACCCTAAAATAAATCCTACGAGTATGCTTATTATTTTTTTAAATGTTAAAAATACGTTTTTCAAAAGAGGCCATCTTTTGCTATTGAACTATTAACCTAAAGAACAAGACATCAACAAAATTCGTTAAAAGAGCCTTTCTCTTCACACAGCAGGGTTGGGTGGCAAATAAAGGCAGACTGAGGGAAAGTAGCTCTGTCACTTGTAGTTGGTGGTTTTTAATGGCGAAGCCCATCTAGAAAGCAATGGTCTAGTTTGTATTGGTCCAGATGAAAAAAGCTGGAATGACTGGTACATGGAAAAGCATCTGCCAGTCCAACACAGATGTAAAGGAAGCCATGTGACAGATTCAGAGAAAAATGGGAATACTTGTTATCAACTGACACAGAGTGAAAGAAGCAGAACTAGCAGAACAAGTTATACAATCACCACAATAAAGGAAAACAGCTTTGAAAGACTTCAGAGCTCTGATTAAAGCAAATAGCCAATCATGACTTCAGAAGACTGGTGAAAAAGCAAAGAAAAGAGGCTAGAGGTCTAGAATAAGACAAACATTTTCAAATGTGGCCAAAGTGGTGATTTGTTTTTCTTGACTAGGGAAGGGGAAAAAGCATTTATTAAGCACTTACTAAGTGTCAAGCACTGCACTTTTACAAATATTACCTCATTTGATCCTCACAACAACCCTATGAGGTAGATGCTATTTTTATCCCCATTTTACAGTTAAGGAAACTGAGACAGACAGGGGTTAAGTGACTTGCTCAGGGTCATACAGCTAGTAAGTATCTGAGGCTGAATTTGAACTTGGGTCTTCCTGACTCCAGGACCAATGCTCTACCCATCATACCGCCTAACTATCTGTAGTTACCTATTATAAGGAAGAGCTTTTGGGAAAAAAGGAGATGGGATTTGGTGGCTAGGAATAGAGACAATAACGATAATGTTCAACATTAAAACTGAATATTATTCTATCAAGACATATTGGTATATGTTTGTATTTAACAGATTAGGAGATTCCTGATGCCTAATCAAACAAGAACCAGACAACCTAAGAAATTTTAAGAAGGAACTACCTCAGAGGAACAGAGCTCTGGAGCAGAAAACAGGTAAGAGCCACTAATGAGCAACATCAGTTTAAAAGATAACTTTTTTGAAAACTTCAGACTTCATAGGTTCATAGATGTAAAGTCAGCGGGACCTTAGAGAATATCTGGGGCAGGTAGATGGCACAGTGGATAGAGTATGAGGCCCAGCGTCACAAAAACTCATCTTCCTGAGTTCAAATCTGGCCTCAGACACTTATGAGCGGTGTGACCCAAGGCAAGTCACTCAATCTTGTCTGCCTCAGTTTCCTCATCTGTAAAATGAGCTAAAGAAGGAAACGGCAAATCACTCCAATATCTCTGCCACGAAAACCCCAAATGGGTTCACAGAGAGTGGGACATGACTATAAAACGACTGAACAACAGAGAACATCTAGTCCAATTCTCTTATTTTACAGATAATAAAAAGGGACCAAGAGGTGAAATTACTATTTGAAAATCACAATGATAGTAAGTAGTAGAATCAAGATTTGAACCTAGATCTTAGCTCTAATCTAGTGCTCTTTACACTACAACCTAAAGTTCAAGTCTGACCATATGTGGTAAGAGCAATATTCTAACTGTAGGGAGGTCACTAAACCTACCTAGGTCTATAAAATGGGGATAATAATACCTGCCTTGACTACCTCATAAAGTTTATATGAGACTCAACAGAATGTATATGGTGATTCTTTGAAAACCATAAAGCTCTGTCTGAATGTGGGGTATTATTTATTGCTGAGACTGCTGGCAGTGTTGGGAGTTATCTAAGTAAGGTCAGGTTGCAAGTTAGGCTAATTTTTCTTTAAACGATATTGAGACTATCCTTAAGACTTGGTTGGCCCAGGGAACTAAAGGTTGGGCTGTTGAGATCATTTCCTCTTCTCATGAGTACAAAGCACTCAAAAGGAGTTCCAGGTTCTTTCTCTGATTCTTGGCTGGGGGATTAGGCAAGGAGCTTTATTCAGCTGGAGGTATCCTCAACACCTATTCACATTGAATAACCTTCTCTCACTAGGGTTAAGTAAATCTCTTTTTTGTTAACTGTTGAACGACCTACAAAGCATCTCATTTTGTTCCTATATCAAAACCAAACTATCAGAGGACAGGCCTGAGTCAGGCTCTGCCCCAGAACACCATGTCACACACATCCCATACTAAATAAACTCTACTATTCTGAAGGAATCCTAATAAAGCTGCCCCCAGCCCCTGATTCTAACTTCCTTATGGGCCCCACTGATTTAACCACACAATCTGGCTTTAACCACACCTCAGGCCCCCAGAATCAATACTGCCACTGCCCCTAATTAGCCACTGCCCCCAGATCCAATTCACGTATTTGAACAGGTGTGTCCTTGTACTCAACCACAATCACATCATCCATTTAGCCCAAAACAGGACCACAATACCTAACGATCCATCTTGAACAGACAGGACAATAGCTAGCCAATCAGAAAGCAGCACAACCAGGATGTCTGACCACCAAACCATAGAAGGGACCCCTCTCCTATTACTAATCCCTTTACAAACCCCTCCTGCCTTTTTAATATTCATCATTTCTGTTGTGTAATCACATCATTATTCTATAAAACTGCCTGTCTTGTCTTACTAAGTTGCTGGTTCCTCTTGGAACCTAGCCCTCATCTGAGGGGCATCAATCCTCAATAAATGACTGTACTTGGATTAGAGGTGGTCCCACTCTGAAATCTTTGAGACAACACCTACAACACACCACGAAACCGCAACAGCTCCCTATTACTTCTAGAATCAAATATAAACTCTTGTTTGGCATTTGAAGCTGTTTACAACTTCACCCTTACCTACCTTTCCAGTCTTCTTATACATTATTCACCTCAGGCATTCTAGTATACTTGCAGCATCCATCTCTTTGTTGGCCATCTCCCAAGACTAGAATGTTCTCACTTCTCATCCCCACCTCTTAGAAACCCAAGAATCCTTCAAGATTCAGCTCAAATGCCACCATCTACAGGAAGCCTTTCCTAGTCCCCCAGCTGACTAGTTCCTTCCTTTGCCCAGGTTACATTATATATCCTCTATATGTGTGTCTTATATACTTATTTTATGTACACATTGTCTTCTCCACTCAAATGTAAGCTCCTTGAAGGCAGGGACAATTTTTGCTCTTTCTTTGTATCTCCACCACTTACCACAGTGAAACATGGTAAGGCATTAATAAATGATTATTGATAACACCACATTAATCACAGGCAGGCCCAAAGACCTGAAGGATGAAATCTCAGATGTATTGAAATCCAGAAGATTGATCCAGGGACTTGAAAGGTTTGTGCTGGGTCTGCATTTCTGTGGAAGATAACTGACAACTTTGTCTGTGTCAAGAGAAAATTGGTCTCCCTGTTACAGGCGAGGAAGCAGTTTAGAACATGGGAATAAATGATCCAAGAAGGAAATAAAAAACGTCTTAAAGAGGTGGAAGAGAAGTAAAAGAAGTACTGATAGGCTGGTGAAAAGAAAAATGTGACACAAAGTAGAGAAGGAAAGAGAAGAGACTAAACTATAGGAGTTATTATAAAACAGGTAGGACGTACTTAAAATAAATTGTGGATTTGGGCCTTCAGAGGAACAAATGATTTACCAAACTCCATAGAGAAGATGAAAAAGACAGCTAAGTGATGCAGTGGATAGAATGCTGGACTTAGAAATCAGGAAGACCAGAGTATTAGCCCTGCCTCAGACCCTCACTAGCTGTAGGATCCTGAACAAAGCATGAAATCTCTTTCTGCCTCAGTTTACTCATCTGTAAACTGCACCTACCTTAAAGGGTTGTTACGAGGATCAATGAGATAAGCAATGTAAAGAGCTTTGCAAAACTTAAAGCAATGTATGTATATGTGCTATTATTATTATTAATCAATCAATACATAAACATTTATAAAGCACTTAAAATGTACCAGGCACTGTGCTAAGCACTGGGGATAC